CACACACACACACACACACACACACACACACACACACACACACACACACACACACACACACACCTCTGAAAACGTTAGAGCACTTTTGGAAATATGTGATGTCTTGATGAATCGAGCAGATATTAGAAGTTTACACAGCTACATTCTCGCATGAAAATATCTTAAAAGTTTATTTTGTGATCCAGAAAGAGAAATATTTCAAACTCCGCCACTCTGTGTTCCTCCGCCACTGCCTCGTTTGAGTTTTGGACGAAATGGATTCTGGGATATTGCATTTCGTCATTTTGAGCTGATTGGAGACCAGAACAGCCAATCAGATTTTTTTGCATCAAAGTCTGTGATTGGCCGGTTTTGTGGCACAAATATAACGGTGTGCAGAAAGAGTTGAACGCGCACGGGCAGAAATGTTGAGAGCGCGAGCAACACATTGCGAGCGAGCGCAAGTGCAAAAACTGAGCGAGAAGGGCTGCTAGTGTGTGTGTGTGTGGATAATAGCAAACACTGAAATACATTTTTGCACGCAGCAATGAATTTTGTTCACTCAAATTTAGCTTTTCTTTGCTCAAAATAAATTTCTCCTCAAAATACAATACTTGCACCTGCAATTTTTTTTTACATGCGCTCAGAATAGTGGCACAAAAATAACGCCATACTGGCCCCCCTGTTCCCTCCAATGCTTGGTATGGACCTTGGGTAAGCTTAATCAAGACACCAGTATAAGTAAAGGCCAGAATGTGTGGGACGTTCTCTAAACATGCAGGGTGAGGACTCTGAAGAGTCAGAGGATGGAAGCAAAGTTTCGACACCGTGCTCAGTTTTAAGCCATCTGCTCTTGCACACCCAATCTCATAATGTCTCACCTTCCAGTTCTAAAATAAACACTCTTAATGACAGTCATCACAGACACAGACACATGGGACATGTTTTTCAGGCTTAGACTTAGTACAGTTTGCAGCAAATTGTGCCAAAAACATTTATGTGATTCATTTAAATATTATCCTCCCAAGATTTTGCACTCTGTAAATGAAAAAAGACTCCAAAAAGCATAAAAGATCTAAATATCAGTTTGACAGTCATGAAAATGCAGTTTGGTTTATTGGCTCTCATCCATGAAATGCGTTTTACTTTATAACCAGATTCGTTGATTGCAAATACGTAATTTTTTCACAGAGTATCCCTCTGGGAGTGCTCTGAGCAATCTAAGACCACTGGCTTGTACTGACAGCACCACTCCCTCTAGACCTGTCCCAACATCAGCAGTGCATGCTGTTGAATGCCCGGTAACTCAACAATAAAGCACCACTTATCTGAAATACAATTATTGACAGAAACAATGGACTTGTGTGTTTGCAGCCATTTCCCTGTTGCCGGGTTTAAATATGGTGAATTTGCTTCTTGTGAAGGATTTATTCTCATGACTCATCCAGTGACTTCACTCCCCCACCAATCAGTGGCATGCAGTCTTTTGATGTCACATTTCTGGCTCAACTGACTTGGAAGTCCTAAAAAAGCACCTGGTACCAAGTACTACCATCTAATGGAAAACCCTAAAAACTGAGTGGTCTAGTTGAACTGAGTAGTCCAACTTTATAACAGCATATCCAGCAGCCTCAACTCCCTTGACCCGCTCAAAACAGTCTCTTTTACCTGCTGTGGCCTATGGTTCACTATGGACGTCCGTGCCCTAAAGACCACCTCCTGGTGATTTTAGAGGATCTATAGCCTTATATAGATCATGTGAGGTCCTGTAAAGAAACTCTCTCTCTCTCAGGCCAAGACTTATTATTACTCTTCCCTCATTTGTCATCAGCAAAGCCATTCCAGACTGCTGGACTGGCTACTTCACCCCCTTGATCCACCTCATCCTTCAGGTGCCCCTGACCTCTGCTACTAGGCAAGGCAAGGCAAGTTTATTTGTATAGCACAATTCAACAACAAGGTGATTCAAAGTGCTTTACAGAGACATTAGAAACAAAAACAAATAAAAAGCATGATTTAAAATTGATTAAAACAAGCAAACAAACAAACAAACTAATTAACAAACAAACAAACAAAACAGTATATAAAATCAAAACAGATAAAATCAGAACAATAGATAAAATCAGTAGTTAAATGTAAGTTTTGAAATTTAAGCTTAAAAGTGTGGATTTGGTGCTTTATTCAAATGCAGCTGAGAACAGGTGAGTCTTCAACCTGGATTTAAATAAACTGAGTGTTTCAGCTGATCTGAGGCTTTCTGGGAGTTTGTTCCAGATATAAGGAGCATAAAAGCTGAATGCAGCTTCTCCGTGTCTGGTTCTGACTCTGGGAACTGATAAAAGACCGGATCCAGATGACCTGAGGGATCTGGAAGGTTCATACTGGGTCAGGAGGTCACTGATGTATTTTGGTCCTAAACCATTCAGAGCTTTATAGACCAGCATCAGAACTTTAAAGTCTATCCTCTGACGGACAGGCAGCCAGTGTAAAGACCTCAGAGCTGGACTGATGTGGTCCACTTTTTTGGTCTTAGTGAGGACTCGAGCAGCAGAGTTCTGAATGAGCTGTAGTTGTCTGACTGATTTTTTAGGTAGACCTGTAAAGATGCTGTTACAGTAATCAAGCCTACTAAAGATGAATGCATGGACTAGTTTTTCCAGGTCCTGTTGAGACATCAGATCTTTTATCCTTGAAATATTCTTGAGGTGATAGTAAGCTGACTTTGTTATTGTCTTAATGTGTTTTTCTAAGTTTAGGTCTGCATCCATCACTACACCCAAATTTCTCGCCTGGTTTGTGGTTTTTAGGTGTATAGATTGAAGTTCTCTGGTGACCTGTAATCGTTTTTCTTTGGCGCCAAAGACTATTACCTCAGTTTTGTTTTTGTTTAGCTGGAGAAAATTGTGGCACAACCAGTCATTAATTTCCTCAATGCATTTACCAAGAGCCTGTACAGGGCCTCGGTCTCCTGGTGACATTGTGATATATATTTGTGTGTCATCTGCATAGCTGTGATAGTTTATTTTGTTGTTCTTTATAATCTGTGCCAGTGGGAGCATGTAGATGTTAAACAGAGGGGGTCCCAAGATGGAACCTTGGGGAACTCCACATGTGATACTTGTCTGCTCAGATGTGAAGTTACCTATTGATACAAAGTATTTCCTGTTTTCTAAGTATGTTTTGAACCAGTTTAGTACAGTTCCTGAGAGACCTGTCCAGTTCTCCAGTACTACTTTCTTGATGTCTTCTGAGAAAAGTTAATTCTATCAATCAGCAGCTTGCGACAGTTACACATCGGCTTCAGGATTTCATCTCACCTTGTGGGATGCTCTTTTCCCTTTTTCTCCTCTGGATTTCTCGTAGGTCACCAAGTGGATCTCTCAGGCCAAAGCCTCCACATGCACTCTGGACCCCATGCAGACACCATTGGTCAATCCATGTCTGTGGCCACATATAGATGATATCATCTCTTCCTGTTACGACCTGGCTCTGCTAGGGGACAGGGGAGGTAACATAAACGAGACCCTCACAAGGGAGATCATTTAAGGCAAAGTTTTATTTACAGAAAAAATCTCAGAACTAAAAACCAATACCGAACCACTAGGAAAATAACCAATACAAAAATAACTTGCTCATGTACGAGTAGAAATTAAAGCTAGCTTCACGGGCAGTAAGACGACTAAATACTATCCACATAAATTCCACACATTAAACAGAGTTTCACAAGCAAGGCTCACAGACAGAAGCATACGGGGGAAACTGCACATTCAGTTCAAAGCAGCAGCCCCTGAATAAATGTTCATCAGCCTTTTGTAGAAGACAGGTGAGTACATTCAGTCGCTGATTGGTCCCTTTTCCTGGAAGTGCAAACCACTGGTCCTCGGGCAGCCAATTGTCTGTGTGGATTGTCACATCCGAATTTACAAGCAGGAAGGCTGGCACGGGTTCCCAACCAGTCTGCTGGTGCTAGCACACTTGAATTTGCTTGTAGGAAGCTGGCTCACTTCTTCCGAGGCCAGGGGCTGTAACACTTCCCTGGTGTCTGAAGTGGTTCCCTCAGTTTTCAAAACTACATAAGTGACTACTGTCCTCAAGAAGCTAGATCTGGAGCAAAACAGCATTAACCATTACTGACCCAACTCTTCAAAAGAACAGAGCCCAGCCAACTCTATCAACATGTCCAACCAAGAGCTTTATGAAGCCTTTCAGTCTGGCTTCAGAGCATACCACAGCACTTAAACTGTTCTCATCAAAACAAGTAACAGCCTTCTCATTGCTGCTGACCCTAGCCACATTAGCATCCTCAACCTTATGGCCTTATCTACCTTTGACATGTTTTTTCCTCCTTTTCTTCTTTCACATCTGTCTGACTATCTCGGACCCACTAGTACAGCACTCTCCTGGCTTCCATTGTGTCCAACCAAACACAATGGAAGGCCCTTGCTCTGCCGCTGCCCTGGTTAACCAAGGTGGGCCTCAAGGTTCTGTGCTGGGACCATTTCTCTTCATTTACATGATCCCCTTTGGCTAGATCATTTGTCACCGTGGTCTCTGTTTCTGTTCCTATGCTGATGACCCTAAACTTTATCAGTACCAAACCTATCACACTCCATAGTCACTTGTCAGCTGTCTGAAATTTAAACAAGGATGTTATCTAATTTACTCAAGCTCAAAGTAATGAAATAGATCTCCTAATTGTGACC